ACGACGACTACTACTACTACTACCACTACTACTACTACTACGACTACTACTACTACTACTACTACTACGACTGCTACGACTGCTACTGCTACTACTACTACTACTACTACTACTACTACTACTACTACTCGTATATTTGTTATATATATATATATACATATATATATATATATAAATATGCATTATATCTAGTTTATATATATATATATGTACACACATTATAGAGCATTGCATTCTATTACATTGTATTGTATTGTGTTGTATTATAGCATGAGATTTGGCTTGCTAGATTCTACCTGCCAGATGTCAACACTGCTGTTGTACACCTGCAGCATGCAACGGCCAATTTCGGCGCAGGTTCACAACATGAAGGATCTGCTCGACCAATCCGTTCGCGCATCCCTCGACAGCTGTTCAGCGAGACTCTTTGCAGCAGTTGCGCAAGGAGATTTGACTGCCATGCGGAGTCAACATCTTTCAGCCCCTTAGCACGGCTGCAGCACCTGTGAGCAGAATTGCCCCGTAGCCCATGTTAAGTCGCGAGAGGACCGACACCGGTACATATCATAATGGCTTGCACAATCTCAGTTCGAGCGGTACAAGTGAGTTTTTGTTGCACATGTTATCTTGGTATGGATTTCTTCTGCACTTGTGAGCCCAACCCTTGACCTTGCAATCTTCCAAGCCCTTCCGGGAAAAGCTGTGGATATGAGTTGCGTAGCTCTCCGTGACAAGCACAAGCAGCAGAATGCAATCTGAGGAACATCTTCCATCGCCGAAGCTCCCGGCCGTTCTCCACCTGGTATGGTCCGCCGGTAGTCAAAGATGCGGACATCAAGAGGTGCCTCCCATAGAAGGCAACGTCATTCTTCCAGCTGTGAGTTCTGGGATGCCCTGAGTCCGGGCGATCAGTGGGTTGTTTATGTCAAGCCCCTTTCAAAAAGATGTCTCCACAAGTGCTTCTTCACATGCACACCCATGAGTACGTGGATTTCTGATGAATTCAAGCTGCCTGACCAACCCTGAGGTTCCAGCAAGGACCTTAAACCCTAAACCCTCAAGGAGGCCGTGGAAGGCCCTGCAAGTTCCGATGCCGACCTCAGCTCGGTGCAATCCGTGAGTACGGCTTAGTGCTAAGTAGCCCTACCATCAGCCTGTGAGTGGTACCCCGAGAGCCCAGTACTCCTTGAATACTTAGGCAGTATATGGGTTGGATGTATGCCACCCTAGCTATCTCTCCGGTGTGCCGGGAGATGGGTGTGATGATGGTTGTTATCTTCCGGAGGCGGGTGGGGTCGTTTTCATCTAGCCCAATAGAGGACAACATGCCATCATTCAGTTGAGTATAGTGCAAAATAGTTTAGCAGGGGGGGGGCCTTCCGTGACATCAGTGCTCCGAGGTATGTGGATTTGGTGCTAGCAGATCCCAGGAGCCAAGTCAATGATCCCGCAGTGCCCGACTTTATCGAACGTGAAGTCTACTTTGTGGTGGTTCGTTTCGTCTTGCAGATGGTCCACTATGCTTTTGGCATCGTGGACCAGCGGGCTCTTTTTGGCCAGACTCTGTACATGCTGCAGTATCCGGAGAAGCAAAGCTCAGGTCTACATCGGTCAGATGTCGAGCTCACGCCCGAGATGATCAACTTCTTCATGCGCGAGGTGGTCTTTCAAGCCAAAGGCGACACAGCCATCATCAACCCCGCTACCGACAAGATCGTCTACAAGAACGCGGTTAAGTTTGCCTTGAGGCTGGTTCTTGATATGGTCTCCTCCGTACGACTTTCTGCCTGCGGGTTGCGAATCCGCCTCGACGTGTCGGCGGATCCCAAGACCGCAAGGAAAGCTCTCAAGCAGGGTCACCTGGACCTCGCACCCTTTGAAAAGTCTTGTGAGCCATTGATAGAAGACTTACTGTCTCAGCGAACCTTGCCTGTGCCGGGTGGGCTGCAGAAAGCTCTCTACAAGAACCTCTTGCGTACTCTGGCATTTTGCGCCGCTGCAACTGTGAAGTCATCAGAACTGGACATCTTTGGGATCTGTGTGGATCCCAAGTTGGGTAGATAACCATATTTGTATTCTTGTATACTGATATCGCCCTGATGTATATGTTAGGTTATGTCATATTGCAGTATTCTTTTGCCTACATTCTCATTCTTCTGTCATTCTATTCAATACTGTTCTATTCTATTCTGTACTATTATATTTTAAGTTGCATGATATCGTGTTTATAAGTAAGTGAATCAGCATTTCCGATTGGGTGTCTCCCTAGGTTACACGGAGTCTCTCTTCAGTGCTTGCTATGGCTCCAAGTTCCAAGAATTGTTGCAGCCATGCGCCTGACCATATGTGACGCATGGCAGAAAAGGGGGTTGAAGGTTTAGGGTTTGTTTCAGCCGTAAGGCAAGCCAGGCCTCGTGACATGCTACTGCAGTGCGACGTTTGCCTCAAATCACCTGGGCTGACCGCCAGTACCTCATGATGGCCTAATCTTCTAAACCCGCTCCGTCTCTCTCCCTCTCGTTCTCGCTCTCTCCCTATATTGTGAATGTGTATGAATATATTTTATGTGCATTGCTTCGTCTACTGTTCTTTGTTTAGTGGAAACCTGTACATGTACTTCATGTAGATCACATGTATTCTGTTTATCATGCTGTATGCGAAACATGACGTTTTGGCTCAAATGGTAGAGTTCCTTCCCGAATCGGGAAGTCCAGGTGTGTATCGGCGCGATTCTTGCCGGAGGATCCATGGTTTGGGTCGTGAAGATGAGGTTCACTTTTATCGAGCTGGAGGAGCGCACGATTTCTCCACCCCGCTCGAAAAGCGTTCCACCACGATTGAAGGTCAAAGTCGAGAGCTCCCAGGACAAGTATCTCGCAGAGCTCTTAGAGCGGGCAACAAATTTGCAACCATTGCCCGCAGTTCCAGCTTTGACGCAACCATCTCCACACCCGCTGCCGAAGTGACTGAAACAGCAGTTCCGAAACGGATTGCTGCTGAACGTGTTTCCGGCAGCCTGGGTCATCCAGAGTTTTGCTGCAGACCCTGCACGCACTTCTTGCGTGGGAAGTGTCAAGCTGGTTGGGATTGCTCCTACTGCCATCATGCAGAGCATCGCGCCGGCATTCGCCCGACCAAGCATCTTCGGGAGAAGCTGCAGCACTTGAACGCTCCAGGCAGACTGCTGCTCTTGCGCAACTGCTTAGAGATCAAAGCTGCCAGAATGCCGCGCGAGCTGCCTTCTATCCAAGCACTGCGCGACGTTGTTGAAGACGCCTGGATCGCGGCAGACCAGCAGGCAGCCACGGATGTGCGCTCGCTCCGGGCACAGCTTTCCGCGCTGCCTGTAAGCGCCTTGCTCGGCCACCAAGTGATCGGTGACTTCGATCCCGAACTTTCGAACTCCCTTCTGCAGCAACTCAATTTGCTCAAATTGGCCAGTCCAATTCCGACGTGAGTTGCCATGGAAACCAACATCAACGGGAACTGTTGTGAAAAGTCTGTTCCGTTTTGTCTTTCCGTGTTGGCAGAAGTTGGGAAAATTTGGGAATTATGATAATGAGGCACCTCAGACGGAGCAGCCACCAGAAAAATTGCTTTCCTTCATTTCACCTGATGCAGCTCGCCAGACCGCCCTAAGCCCCAGAAGCTTCAAGAGTATTGGCGTGAAGTTATAGGGGTTTGGAGTGTTGGGCTGACGGTGAGCGCCCAATCAGGCATTTCAAGACTTCGCAAGGCTTGATCTTCCAGCCTCAAGGTAGGCCATTACGGCATGCCATCCCACCTGTGACGATGCTGCCACTCTGTCAGCCTTGTTTTCGTAGTTCAAAGGCACATGGAACTCAAGGCTCACGCCATGCCATCTGTGAACATGCAAGTGGCACATGGTGCTAAGCTTTCTGAACAAACGGATCTTTCAAACTCTGGACCCTGAAACTACTTGTCATTGTTCTTGAGCCGAGCAAGCATCGAGACCTAGCTTGCAGAAGGGCAGAGCTCGCTGATAAATCGGTCACGCTCGCTGGTGAATGTACCGAAGCTGTGGGCACCACCTCTACCCAGCCATGTCGGCAAGTCACTTCGCGACAGCTTCCATGAAATTAGAGTTATTGGTGAACACAGCTGGGGGCAGCATGCGCCTACCGTCAGGATTCATTGAAACTCCTTTTAATGCCAGGGATCTGGCTGATCCGACCAAGAAGCTCCCACTGCTCGTTTCTGAGGTTGCATGTTCCTTCACTGGCTTCTGGAGTAGTGTCTTTACCAAGCTCTGAATCCTTCGCGTTGTGCAACTGACAGTCAACCTCATCTGATTCGCCCTAGTGCTGGAGCTCTCTCCCTAATCGGTCGCTGGCTTGTGATTCCCCGTTGTTCGTGTGCATCTTCCTGACGAGCTACTGCAGCTCCTGGAACTTGCACTCATCTTTGTTTTCCAATGTGTGTCCAACTCTAGCTGGTCAGCTCGGCGGGCGCAAAATGCCTGATGAAGGGTTCGTCCTAGCAAACAGTAAGATAGCAGGACGTGGCGCCTGTTCGACATGGAGGTTTGTGTTGAGTCTTGCGTTCGCCGGTTGCCCGCGTCTCGTGCGCTGGCGGATACCGTTGGGGTGGCAGTGTAGGAGTCTGAATAGTAGGCGTCTGAATACTGGTATTTGCTACATGATCCTACAGGATTGCCATAGCTTAATACGACCTAAAAGCCTTTTTCCACATCTTGAGGCCCTGCACTAGGCTACTCCGGCAACTTGCAAGCTTCCGCGGAAGAACACCCAAGGCAAGGAGCTCTCGGAAGCTCATCGGAGGAGCCAGAACTTCGTGCATGGGTTTAGGATTCTGGGCTTAAGGGTTTAAGGTTTAGGGGTTTTGGTTTTAAAGGTTCAGGCTTCGCAAGGGAGCTTCCGGGCGACGAGGCAAGCCCGCTGCAAAAGGGCACAGGGCTTACTTCTGCTCTTTTTGTTGCTATTCGGATTGATAGCAAATCAGGGTTCGGGTACGCGCCAAGGTCGATTAATACTTTACAGCGTCTCAGCAGCTGTGGCAGATGTCGCCGGTGCTGGCTGATGCCATTGCGAGAGGAGCCCGAGTTCAGAGTCTACGAGTAGCTCTTTGGGCAAGTCTGCTGCTGACCAAGGCAGGGAGCTGCCGCTGCCCAGCTTTGCTTTCGGGTATTTATCTGCATACTTCATACATTCTCTCACGGTCTTTACATTGACGAACTTATACCAGCCATGGTACCATCGCACGATTTCACAATATCTCACCATGCCCACAATGGTTTTGGAAAGGAGAACAAAGAAGCTTTTCCATGGTGCTACACCTCCCATCCCCTGCACAAGGCGTCGAAGACTTGATCCGCGATCTTCGGCAGAGCCAGGAGGCCGACCATCTCGTCCTTTTGTGGTTGGGAGTGTAAGTCCTGTATGGTGGCTTCCAGCAGTACCGGCAACACTTGTAGGCGCCCTTCGCGCAGACTGAGTACTTGAATCGAAAATTGGGATCCCATCCTGGATGCTTTATTGAGAGACTTGAAGCCGCAAGCCACAGCCCAGAAACTGCCCAGCCTCGAGTCAAAACTGAAAACAGGCAGGAGACCCGGTATCTCAAAATAGCAAGGCACCGAAGGTTTATTTGTGAAGCAAGCCTGAAAAGTCATGCCGAGGCCTGAAACCGCTAATCTTCTCCGTGCTAAGGGTATGTTTCAGAAAGGCCTTTTTAGGCACGGCACCAAACTCCAAAACGCTGAAAACTTCACAAATATTCTAAAATCTTCTCGAGAGTCTAGATTCTGCATAAACCTTCTGGAAACTACCAAAACCTGCCCAAACCTACCCGAACAAGCCAGCGGTTTCCGAAGGCTTTCTCATGGTAAAGGCATAAATAGTCCATTTATGTATTCAGGGGATTATACTCCTGCAGCCCTCAGATACTAAGAGCCTGGCAGGGCTCACAAATTTGAAGCTCCACTGCAGCTTCATGCCGTTTGAATTGTTGCTGCTTTTTCGGCTCGACAACACTGCGTTGCAGTCCGACTGATGTTCGTTCCGAAAAAATGGCTGCATTTCCTTCCGCAGCATGGAGGTTATGTAGGAAACAAGGTTGAACCAGTTTTTAGGGTTTTAGAGTTATGTTAATTTGCAGGCTCAGAGTGTACAGGCCTTGGACCCCCACAATAAACCCAAAACCCTCACCCCTCGCCAGATTGTGACCAAATTAGGCAATCGAGTTTGAAGCGGAATGCCAAATACTTCTAAATCATGCACAGTACTTCCAAGTCATGCAAAATCATTCAAAACACTTCAGCTCTTTGTTCTCAGCCTGAAAACATACCTTCCTGAAGAAATCCCTCAGTTGCACCAGGGGCATACGTGTGTCTGCATAAGTAGTCATCGTGCCCCTGTCCATTTCCCAAACACATGCTTCGAATCTGTAAGGCCCTAGATTACATAAACCTCATGCCTTTTGGTGTCGGCCTGTTCCGTTGCAGGAGCTCCGAGCGGCAGTTGAGGCTCGCCGAGACAGATTCAGGATAGTAGAGGAGCCCGAATACTTATTTATGTTGCTCCTTAGGGTGCCTTATTGTAAATATGTGCTAATATACCCCCAAACCCTTTTCTAATTATGAAGGCCCCTCTATTAGGATGCTTTGGAAATCAGGGGGAATTCCTGGCCATATCTGGCGCCAGCTTGCCAGCACTTGAGGAATCGAGGGCTTCGTTGTTGTATTCTTTCTTTGCCGAATTTGCTGCAAGAGGTCTGATAGCAAGGCGGTATGCTCTAGTGGTTACATCTTCATCACCACAGGGGTGCCGCAGCCATGTAAGGCCACACGATAGATTACGAAGCCGAACTCAAGCTGATCGTCCCACTGCTCGGCTTCAAGCGATGCGTTTGACATCTCAGTCGGGAATGCGGCATGAGCATTGAGTTAGGAACTTTCAGAGCAAAGTCCCTGACGGTCAGGGTTTCATCGAGTTGAAGGCAGACCCAGAGATTTCACTACCCTTCATTATGGCACATACGCATGTTTTGCGTACCGCCCTGGCCTGGACTCAAGCCCCCGTAGT